GCTCGCCAGGAGGTTGAGGAGATCAGAGTCTCAGCTGTCAATCAGCTCGAGGAGTGGCAGCACGCTCCAACTCAGAGCTGGCAGCGCCAGCGGAAGTCCAGACTCTGAAGATGGCACTGGCCCGCGCGCATTCAACGGCTTCTCGCGAGGAGGAGACTGCGAATTCATTCGAGAAGGGGGCAGCTGCACGACAGTCGGAGGAGGCCCAGCAACTCATCCACAGGGTGATGCAAGAAGAAGCGGCGGCGTATGATGCCCAACTACATGTCCACAGCATGCAACAGGAGGTCCCCGCTCTGAGAACTCAGCTCTGCGAGCAGATCGAGGAAATCAAAGAGGAGGAGCGCTCATTCAACGAGGAGCTGGCAAGGGCATGGAGCTTCAGAGAAGCCAGCATGGTAGAGGCAGCGGAGATGGAGGACTTTGCCAACCAGCAGATGGTCTACCGGGAGCAGGCGATCCACGACTCCTACCAGCAGGGCCTCCAGCACAGCCAGCAGCTACATGAAGAGCTTGCAGCTACCAGAGAACAAGGCTGCAAGGAGGAGTCGGAAGTAGGCCAGCTCAGGATTCAGCTCAAGCACCTGGAGGCCTTCTCAGCAGGCAGGGCGAAAGAGCAGCGGGCGATGGTCGACCTATACGCGGAGATGAGGGGCGCCAACCGGGAGAGCTATGACTTCACCAAGCAGGCGGCAAAGTGCATTGCGGAAGGAGGTCAGCTGCCAGAGTCACAGCCGTCGCAAGGCGACGACTTGGCGGCGGCGCAAGAATACGAGGCGACGCAGGAGGAGGAGCAGCAAAGCAGAAGAGGATACCATGCCCCCGCAGTCCCCTCATGAGCAGCTTCCGCCACCATGCGCTGCTGAGGAGCGCCTCGCGGCCAGGGCATGCACGCCCAGCCGCTCCCCAGCGAGGCGCAGAGGCGATGGCGAAGACGCAAAGGCAAGGAGGGATAGGTCACGCAGCCCAAATAGGCCATCACAGTCAATGGAGGCAGAAAGGCACAGCAGGGAGGCGCGTGCACGGCTACTAGAAGAGCAGGAGGCGAAGCGGCAGTGGGAGGCTGAAGTGCTGGAGGATGAAGCGAGATGGGCAGTTGAAGCATACGAGGCAGAATTGGCACTGCAGCAGGACATTGACCGAGGTCACAGCGTACCTCGTGAGTCTAGCAGCCCCCCAGGCGCAGCCGAGGAGTGCTCAGAGGAGGCGACAATCCTATACTCCACGCAATGGTCGCCGCCTGGCCCCTCGGCAGGACAAGCAGTCGAGGCCGGCGAGCAGCGTGACCACGATGCCGATACTGACCTCGCCTCAACGTCCAGGGCCAGTTCCATCCCAACCGAGCAGCCAGAGCCAGCTACGCCGAGGGCTGCAGAGATACCTTCCACAATCTACATCCCAGACAGCCCGAGGGAGGAGCGCGACATGCCGTTGACGCCGACGCAGCTGTTGCCAGCGAGCGCCCATGAGCTACCACTGAGTGCGACGGCACGGGAGGAGTTCGTTCTCACTCCGCAGTCGGCAGCGAGGGATCAGACAGCGGGCGAAGTGGCAGGCAGCAGTATCGAGCGGCAGTATGATAACATCGACGAACTCACCAGGCAGTTTACCGATGCGCCAGCAGCAAGCTCATCGCCCGAGGAGTCCTTCGAGGCAGCGCCCAAGTTCCCGATGGCCCCCAGGGACGGAGCGGCCACGGGGCAGCGCATCGACTCAGGCGAATCAGGGATAGCACGTTTTCGCGGCCGTGTCGCCCGCAGAAGAGACGAGGCCAGGGCCGCCAGCGCCGACGCCTCCTCCTCTGCAGACCCTGGAGACGATGAGCTGGCAGCAGCAGGCACCGCTACGCCCCCGCAGGGGGGCGAGGCGGCCTAGCAGCGCCGCGAACCTCCAGGACACGCATGACAGAATTCACCGTTAAGGATGGGCCGATGGGACCAACGCGGCAGGATGGAGCAGATGCGGGCTTAGTGCACATCCTCCTTGGAGTTGGCCATCATCGGGGCCCAACGGCGGACATGCTGGGAGCTGGCGATGATGTTCATCGAGACAGCGGGGTCTTCCACTGCAAAGCCCCATCCCAGCGCAACCCTCATCAAGTTGAATGCACTGCAGCTGATGTTTTTTTCTTCAGGTAGCAGCTTGCATGTTTCTTCTCATGCACTTTCAAACCACTGCGCAGATCAGACCGAGGGGGAGAAGGTCTTGCGAGGCCCGAACCCCGCCGACATGGGAGCAGGCCGCAGCAGAGCTTGCAAGGTGCAGGACAGCGAGCTGCAGCAGCAAGCGGCAGGCACCGACACCTTCGCCAAGGTCTCGAGGGGCTACGGCGACACCACCCATGCCAAGCAGGCCTGCCGCCGCGCCCCAAGGGGGGCCAGGCAGCACCTCAGCCAGAGCATTGCCTCACGGGCAAAGAGCGAAGCCCGTGCAGGTTACGCTCCAGGTCAGAAGCCCGAGAGGCTGCGAGGATGCGCTACCGGCTGCCCTCGCCGCGGGAAGATCCTGTCCAGATCGTGGCCTACAAACCGGCGCGATACAGAGTACAAACATCGAGGGCCCGCAAAGTACGTCCCCCATTGGCTCAGACAGCGATCAAGAGCAATAATCCAAACAGGGGAGAGCTGGAGGAAGGCTTTTGCAGTGGCTCACAGACGCAAACAACTACGCCGTCTACGACGTCGAGAGCCACGCGTCGACCGGGCGGAGACATGGTTGTCGCCCAACGCATTTCAATCCCTCAGTCCATCCAACCCCCACAGCGACAGCCCACAATGCCAGGAGTTCGACGGCGAGGTAGCAGCCACGAACCACTCCCGTGGCACTGCTATCGATCGCATTCCTGCCAGCGATGCTGACAACGGGCCGCGCAAAGGGTTGGCGACAATGACAGAGCAACCAGTGGCGGTACAGTTGGTAGCAGCAATATCTAGGTCAGTAGTCGTGACTACGTCACGCGACGCTGACAGTACCAGACAGCATGTCGACGCTTGGCGGCCGAGCATAAGGCATCAGCAGAAAGACAGTCAAGCAATCAGCCAAACACACGCTGCACCAATTGCATCATCTGTCCCATCGGAGGCATCAACACCAGCACCAGCCAGACCAAACCCGACTCCAACGTGGACCGCACACCACCGTGCTCCACCAAACGGGCTAAGTGAGACAGGCAGATGGAGGCCGACAATGACTGAACTGCACAAGACATCTGTAAGCCTGAGCGGTGGTTTGGAGCCTCCTACACCTCAGGACAGAATGGTGAACTTACCGACCAGCATACCACAAGCACCACAACATACCAACCAGCGCACAGGAGGCAGCAACCTCGACAGCAGCAGTGGAAGTGGGCAGGGTGCCATCAGTCGTGGGCCAAGGCCGGGGCCAGTAGTCGTGTATCACTCACGCGACGCTGGCAAGCACACACAGGAGAATGGCGCCCAACCTTCAACAGACCCATCAAGGCATCAAGGCGATGCTCAAGCACAGCCAGAATACGACCACGACGGCGCAACCGGACCAGCATTGGCGTCATACACGACACCCACGGCACCAGCGCCGCCTCCAGCTGCGACCAGCGTGCGACACGCTTGCCCCACAGCACACAGCAAACACGACGAATATAGTCCTCAGTACATCCAGGCGGAGCGGGCCAGCCGCTCCAGACGCTGCAAGTTACTCGACTATGCGGCTGATCAAGGACAGCACAGCAACCCAGCAATAATGCCAGTACTCAGCCAAATACCAGTAATCGACATGCTCCGCACCAGTGGCAGATTGGATCCATCCCGCCAGCTGCCCCAAGATGAGCTGCATCGCATGGCCCAACTGGCATTAGAGCTATGTCCGAGGCAGGACCGTCAAGGACAGAGGCTGCACATTTATACGGACGGCAGCTACGGCGGCACACCAGAGTATGCGGCATGGTCGGTTGTGGTTGTCGACGAGTACTCTACTGACAGCACGCGCCGGGGCCTATTTGGCTTCCGCGGGTATTTGGCAGGTAAAATCGATGAATCTATAGCCGACATGGTGCACCAACAGAAAGTCACGGCCTACACCGCGGAGCTTACAGCGGCAATGTGGGCCCTGATGTGGGTGCTCGGCCAGGATACTACAATGCCCGTGGAGGTGACGCCAGAAGCGCTGAACGTGATAAACCTGGCCTGTGGAGCAGCTCAGTGCCATGTCCACCCCAAGCTGGGCTATGCAATTCGTGCGCTTTCAGGACTTCTCGCACAACGAGGGCAAATAGCATGGCATCGTAACAACTCTTATACAGACCACCCCTGGAACGAGCTGGCAGATGGAGTGGCAGAACTCGCTGGGCATAGACACCTCTTGGAGCTGAACTACCAAGCAGTCGAGGCCATTGCTGCTAATCGGTACTTATCCTGGGAATGGATGCGCGAAGCACCAGCTCAACACAAACAAGGGTACCCGCAGCTCGTTGGTGAGTCCTGCGTCATCGAGACCACGCAGCCCGTTGCCGACCCGAAGGCCCTCATGCGCGACATCAAGGAGTCCAAAGTCAAAGCAGAACTGGAGTTGCGATTGTGCACATTCAATTCCAAGTCCCTGAATGCCAAAGTCCCATTCCAGAGCGAGAAGAGGAAAGGCAAGGGCAGAGGTACTACTACGCTGTCGATGGTGGTGCATCTCGCGTCGCAGTTGTCGGGCATGGAGCTGCACATCGTGGCGCTGCAGGAAACGCAGTCCACCCCAGATGCGCGCACAATCGGCGACTTTGTGTGCTTCTCATCAGGAAGCACAAATCCGAACAGGGGATGCGACATCTAGCTCAATGTGGCGCTACCAATCACCACCAAGGGAACGGCAAAGTACTTATGCGCCAAGGACACCATCGTGCTGCACCAGGACGAGCGCCTACTTGTACTGAAGACCAAGCTGGCAAGCAAGGACATGGTGGTGGCATCAGCAAATGCCCCCCACGAAGAAAGCACAACCGAAGACAAGGACGCCTTTGGCACGCGGCCCTACAGGCAGTGAGGCGATACAAGGTCGACATCTTCATGGGGGGCCGCGACGGCCACCTGGGCGACTACGAGGCACCACGCATTGGCAGCCAGGGCTTTCCCGAGCCAACGAATGCCAACGGTGAAAGGATTATTGCATTCGCAGCAGCTGCGGGCATGGAGGCCGCCAACGCTACCCGGCACAGTGGGAAAAAGCTCATGTATGTATGTTGGCTCTTAAGGTCAGAAGCACAGAATAGATTACATAATGGTTGGGCAAGATGTGGCCCAGTTTGTTACATAATCATCAACAGAGCCTGCACTGGACCGCGGTGTTACATCAGAGGATCACATACCTGTGCTTGCGTCTCTCCACTGGACGGCCAACGGTTTCAACAAGTCCGCTGGTCCAAGACCAGACATGACCAAGCTCAAGGCTCCAGAGGCGCACGCAGTGTTCAAGTCGATCCTGAAGCAAGCGCCCACCATCCCGTGGGCAGAGGATGTCAACGCCCATTGCGAGAAGGTTTCCAAGACGATCAATGGCGCGGCGCTTCAAGCCTTGGGACCAGCAGCCAGAGCGGCGCGCAAGCCCTACATCACGACGGTAACCCTAGGCCTGGTCAGGGCAAGGAGGCGTACGCGCCGTGTCCACCGATCGGTAATACCGAAGGTGGCCACAGACGACAACCCGGGCAAGTTGTTCTCCCATGCCAAGTCCGTGCTCGAAGGCGACGTACATGCTACGGCACTCATCAATTCGGAAGCTGGACAGAAGGATATCCAACCCTTTGTGCACCAATTGCGACAGCACGCCAAAGACTTCGTCGAGCGGCGATCGCACCCACCCGAGCATGCCATGGCGCTGTCAGCTTTTTTTGCATTGTCGGGACCTGCGGCCGCACAATCAGCAGAAAAGGAGCGGACCGCAGTCCTGAGTCAGTTGGCAACCAGCGCAGCAGATGCCAAGTCCAGGAACGATTCGGCAGCGCAGTGGAAGCAGTATCACGCACTACTCAGGCATGGAGGACGCAAATCCATATTCCCTGCAGTTCGCCCGATGCGACTGGGAACGCGCTCCAGAGCTCGGTGGACATCGCCACGCATGAGCTCCAGCATTTCGCGAAGGTGCAGGCAGGCGAGATGCCATCTGCAGAGGCCCTGGCAACGAAGTACAACGAGGACAGCAAAGCCAGGCCAATCAAAGAAGAGCTCAACTTTATGCTTGTCATGCCCCTTGATGTCTGCCAGGCCCAGATCGCGACTGCCAAGGCTGGAGCACAGGGTGGGCCAGACGGCCCCACTAACGCAATACTACGAGCAGCTCCAATGGAAGCCGCAGCCCTACTACATCCGCTACTCACCAATGTGACCACCCAAGTAAGGGCGCCCTTAGCATTCAAGGGCGGTGACTTGGGTGCGATCCCGAAAGGGAACGGAGATGCGAGACTACTTACAGCTGACCGAGAAATCTTACTCAACAGCGTGCGTGGGAAGCAGCATCACCGATACTTACGTGCCATGCTTAGCACAGTGCTGGCCCAGACCCTTCAGGATGTGCAAGTTGGCGGCCGACCTAAGCGCGGAGCGGATATGGTCGTGCCGGCGACGCGGTAATTCACCGAGCGGAGCATGCGCCAGGGCAAGTGTTTCATGATTAGCTGCTACGGCATCAAGGAGGCATTCTACTCCGCGTTGGTTCAATTGGTCCACGGGGTTCCAGGCGAAGACGAGAAGCTAAAGGAAGTGTTGGAAGGCATCGACATACCCCTCTGGGCCCAACCACAGCTCGAGCACCGACTAGCCAATCCTGGCATATTGGACAGGGCCATCGAGGGGTCGCACCTTGCAGCACTCATAGCAGAGGGACACCGCACACGATGGACCACACACCGACACGCTGAAGGAGTGAAGTGGCGGACGCGGACATCAACATGCTCGTCAGCCGCGTCCACAGGTTGCTCGACATCATTCTCCACGAACGAGGCCTTCGAGCGACAGGTAAGCACCTGGAGGAAGGCTTTTCCTGTCCCAGCGACCCCGACCAGGGCGAGTTGCAGGAGTACGAGCCGCACGGCATGTCCTTCGTCGACGACCTCGCCTCCATGCATACCCTTACCAACCCTGAGGTGGTGCGCGAAGAGGCAAGCGGATTCTGCGAATCGGTGTATCGCGCAGCATCAGCGTTCGGCGTCAAGCTTCAAATCAGCAAGACGAAGGCGCCAGTACACTTTGGAGGCCCAGGCAGCAGGCAGGCCAAGAGGGACTTCCTTCTCCAGCGAGGACAGTTCAATCGTGGCCCCCATGGCCAACAGCAAAGTGGAGGTAGTAGGACAATACAAGCTGCTGAGGACCCACATCACGGACGACGGGTCTCCTGGCGTGGATGCGGCGGTAAAGGTGGCTACAGCGTCGGCATCCACGAGGCCCTTGCACCGCGAGGTGCACCGTCGTGCAGCGCTGAGCTCAGGCGACAGGGCCACGCTGGCGGACAGCGTGGTGCTCTCGAAGCTACTCTACAACGCGGGAACCTGGCCGATCCTCACCGCAGGCCAAGCTAGGCAGTTCAATGACCAACATGTGGTCAACTACGCAGCGGCACAGAGGATAACATGGAAGATGCGGCAACGGAACGAAGTCACATACATGCAGATCCTGCAAGGCGTGGACCGAATGCCCCCCAGCGTACGTACTAAGGCTGGAACAGGTTCTCTTCGGGAGAGTACTGAACTCAGGCCCCCTCCATCTGCGGCGGCTAATAGCTCAAGGCTGGGCAGGAGACTGCGGCTGGGAAGCCACAGTGCGTCGAGATTTTTCGAGGCTTCGTGATCGCACTGGCCCCGAAGAACGAGGAGGCAGCTACGCCCTGGACCAATGGAGGGATTGGGCAAGGTCTGAATACGTCAGCTTCCTCCACGCGACGAAGAGAGCCTGCCAGCGAGGCAGAGAATAAGCTTATGACCTTGAACACCTCGACCGATGGAGGCGGCAACTACAACAGTGGACTCACAACGATCAGGTGGATACACTACCAGGACATGTACCCACGGTCGAGAACAAGTACATATGCTATGAGTGCGGAAAGACGGAGACCTCTGCCCAGCAGCTACGGATTCACACGACCAGGTACTATCCAGCCGGATCTCATCCAACAACGTGGGCAACTGGCACCATCTGCGCGGCGTGTGGGGCGCAGTTCCACACGTGCAATCGCCCGGTGAAGCACTTGCAGAAGGTCAAGCGGCGTCGACGGCATTGGCGCGCGACGCGGCCCCAGGAACTATCGCCAGAAGAGCAGCACAACAACGAGATGCTGCTAGGGGCTTGTCAGCAAGCCAACCACCATGCTGGTCGCCCAGTCGACTGGGCGGAACGTCCCTGCGTACAAGTTCAGCCTCCTGAGCTTGATCACGACGGAGACCAGCTACAATGCCGAGACGGCAGCGACGAACAGCCAGAACTGCCCACCATCGACACACCACCGCCCACCGTGGCCCACGTTTGCCGACCTCCAGGAGCAGACATCATCTACATACTACACTTGTTCAGCGGCAGAAGGCGCGAAGGTGACATCCAGAGTTGGCTTGACAACATACACCATGCATGCTGCTGGATCTGCCGTGTACATGCTGAGTCTTGACGTGGCGAACGACAGGATATACGGCGACCTGACCAACGTGGCAGCCAACGCGCTATGGCAACGACTCGTGCGAGAAGGCCGAGTGGGAGGTGTGCTAGGTGGCCCGCACTGTGAGACGTGGAGCAGAGCTCGGCACCTACCTCCCAACTAGTGTCGTGGACGTCCACCACGGCCACTGCGGTCAGCCTCTAGCCTATGGGGGCGGTCGTACCTCAGCAGGCGCGAGCAGGAACAAGTCAAAAAAGGGAACAGGCTGTTCAGGACCCAGCTGCTCTACATGTACGCATGCGCGACTTACGGCATCCAAGGTATGCTGGAGCATCCCATAGAACCCAGCGAGGACTACATGGCGAGCAGCTGACGGCTGCCTGAGACGGCCCACCTATGTTGCCATCGCGGGGTCAAGAAAATAAATTTCGACCAGTGCACGTGCGGAGCGGCGTCACGGAAGTCAACAACCCTGATGGCCGTCGCGTTCCCCGAGCTCGAGAGGGCGATTCGACGCTTACCTGGAGCTGGCCGCTGCTACCACACCCCCAGGTTCCACGCAGAGCTCGCAGGGGTCGACCTCGAGGGCAACTGGCGCACCACAGCTGCAAAGAAATACCCACCGCGTATGTTCCAGGCGATAGCTGAGGCACTAAGCAAGCAGCTGGACCTCAGGTTTGGCCAGTCACCGGTGTAAGCCAACGACTGGCAGCTGGAGGACGACGTCAGGCAGCTCTACCAAGCCGTAGACCCCTACATACCACGCGATATCGGCTTGGATTACCACGACGGCAACCGGCAGATGCCCAGCAAGAACCAACAGCTGTGGGGGGCCCGTGAATGGGCCAAGGCAGATGCTCATCATGTGCGACGACGACCACCGGGACCGCGGACTCCTCTCGACATCGATGCTCCGCTCTTTTACCCGGCTACCTCCTCATCCCAGTAGTGACGACACCGATCTGACACACTCTTGGACGCGTGACGGCATGCTCCTCGCCCGCTCAATGGCTAGCTCCGGTTAGGTCGGGCAGCAGGGGCCGGAGCGGAAAACCTGAGGTCCATCTCCCTGCGTCTCCCCCTCCCACGTCTCCCTGTTCGTCATCCCGTTGCCGATGAACGTCCTTGCCCGCGGGCTGTTGGTTCAAACCCACATGGTCACCTACGCCCCCTTGCCTACGTTCTCCCGATGATTGACCACCAGGAGGTCAACGCGGAGCTTGTCGAAGTCCTGGGGAAGCCCCGACTGCGAGGGAACACCCCAGGCATATGTTCGCCATGTCTTGCTGGAAGGCGTTAGGACGCAAGTCCTGAGGAAGCCTCGAATGCGAGGGAACACCTCAGGCACGTCGCCACGTAAAGCTGGACATGCGAACTACCACGCAATGGCCCCGCACATGCGGAAGAGTGCGGGCAGTACTACACAGGGAGACAACTACACCACGCAGATATACTGCGACTAAACGAGCCACCACAACGCTACAACCACCAGCACGACATCTACAGCAGCCTTACCCGACAACCTACCCAGCAACGACGAAGACAGTCGCGGTTGCCCTGGAGAGGCAAGGTTCACACTTCGAGACGGGCTCGAAGGGCGGGGAGGCAGGATGAGTATTGCCTGCGCCTGCCAGGGAGGATGGTGAGGGGCAGGAGGGGGGGGGGACGGCCACCATCCGCGCCCCTGCGGTCCGCCCTAGCTCGCCACCCCCACCCCCAGACGAAGGTGACGCTCCCAAGCGCCAGAAGGCCAAGCCGGGGCAACCCGACCAGCCCACCACGACCACGAGCACAAGGCGTGGGGTTCGCCCCCACCGAGGGCACTGCGACCCCTAGCCATAGCGGGACGAGGTGGGACCGCCGCGACTCCCACTTGAAGTTGGTGAGTGGAGGCCATGAGTGCGACCAACAACCACGACGACCCGCGCCACAACGCCTACCATTACCCACAACGACCCACCGTAACACCCGCACGCCAC